TATGTTATGTGACTCTGAGGTGGCAGCCTTGACTGTGCAAATGCAGCTGGAGATTGCATGAAAAAATATTTTCCACTGTATTTTGGCCCACGTTGGTTCATCTCTACAAAGGATTTTAAAGACTTTGGCACCTTTGATGTGGTCTTTCTTTTCTGTCAACAGCAGACGTGAACGGTCAGGTTCAAAACCTCAACAAGTTCTGCAAAATATTTGACAAAGTCTAAGCTAAGGTCAAATCTGCTTTCCCACCACTGTGCTTCCTATAATAGTTCTTAGTTAGTTAGTTCTATAGCCCCAAAAACATGTTTTCTCAATCCGATTCTTATTATGAGTGATGGGACCTTTCTTCTTGTTAGTTCATACTTGTTTATATATCTCTCTGTGTCTTTCTCTCTCTTTATATGTGTGTGTGTGTGTGTGTGTGTGTGTGTGTGTGTGTATTACTGCAAATTTGTGCTCAACAAAAGATTATCTTATCTTATAATCACAAAGTTTTCTGGCAAACAGTTTTGGTTTGTTCATAATAGAGTTTAGGGTCAAGCTTTAAAGGTTCATATGGAAATGTGTCACTGGCGTCCTAAAAGCTCCTTCTCAGGAATGGACATTGTTCTAACATTTGCATGAATAAAACCAAAGCAGCCGAACCAAAACAACAAAATCTCTGGAGACACAATGAATGGACATTGTACAGTAGTTGTATGTGCTGTCTGTGTGATCTTCACAGTGAACATAAGGATTACTCTTGTGCTTCAATTAGAGTAATGCAGCTCAGATGGAAACTTGACACTTGAAACACGTGGTTAGTGAGAGGCCACTGAGAGCTATTTGAAGCTTTTGGCATGACTCGCTTTCTCACCGTGTTCAATCATCTGTGCCAACCACGGCAGCTTAATTTTTTAAAATCTTTTAAGTTTATTTCAGAGTCTGTTTGACTCACAAACAGCTTGCCAGGCATCATACCTGCTAACAGACATGTAACACATGTTTAAAATATTTTAAATGTATTGAAACTTGTGCCTCATCACTTGCCAACAGTAGAGAAAGAATGAGAGAAGAAAGTCCACTAACTACCGTAGGCATTGGATGTAGAGATGTGATTGCTTTATGAAAACAACCGGTGTGGAAGTGAAGATGAAAAGAGAGAGATGAAAGCAGGAAATGCAGGTGCTAACGCCCTCATTTGTGTGTCTTGATATGAAACAAAAGGGAAGGTGAAAAGTGCACTTACTATACTGTAGTGAATGTTATAAACAGACCCAGAGTTCAACACCTAAAACATTCTGCAGATCCAGAAGAGGTTACACAAGATCAGTGTTGGGCTAGTTACTCGAAAATGTAATTCATTACTCATTGCTCTTTTCAAAAATAATATTATTACTTTATTTATTACTCTCTGCCAACAGTAAGTAGTTACACTGCCGGTTATATCGTGTCCTTTCTCGCCAAAATTCCTACTTACGACAATTAAAATCCAGTTTTGTTTGTTAAAATCAAAGCAATGGAATATATTACAAATTATAGATTTAAAAAATTATTTGTTTTCATTTTTGGATTTGAAATCAGTAGGGGATAACTACAAAAGTAAGGTTGTAAGTCATTTTGTGGGGGGTTAGGGGCTATAGTAATATTATTACCAGTAATGAATTACTGCCTAAGATCCACTATAAGGACAAGAATATGCTAAGAAACCTAAATGAGCAATATGTAAGTTATACAACCTTTTCCTAAAAATAGAGAAAAAACATTTTCCAGAAAAGTCTGTTGCAGGATTAAAGACAAGAAGGTAGAAGAAAAAAGAAGAAGACTTAAGTTCACATGCAGACTACACGGCAACTCTAAATTAATCAACTAAGTAGTTACGTGAGAAATGTCGAGCTAAATGTCTACTCAGCAAGTGTCAAGTGCTTTTAAAGCAGCCATGTCAAAAAGTCACACTTAGAGCCCCTTACCAAAAACCCATGTACAAATATTTGTCAGAAAGTTCTTATTATTTCAAACGAAACTACATCATTTAAAGATTAGTTATCAGAAGTTAGTAAGGATTCCACTGAAAGCTAAAATTTGTATCACCTGTATAAATCCTCTACCGTTTTCTTTCCCTTGCCCTAAAAAGCCTGCGACTCCTCACTGTGTGGAAATAGAAACACTTGCACCAATGCTTTTCTTCCTACACAACATTCAAATCTTGTATTTGGTTGCGTATTAGATTTTTTTCCCGTCTTGAACGGTGGAAATTTTGTTATTATGTGACTCAGAAATTCCTTCTTGTACACAGAAGTCTGTCAGACATGTTGCTCAGGTTCTGTTGTAAAGTAGCGAGAGGAGAGTCTGCAGAGTTTGTCCAAATCTTCCCCAGCAACGATGATGCTTTCCCCTACAAAGCCTGAATCCATTCAGCTGAGCCGCGTTTTACTTTGGAAAGTCAGTCAGTTAGTCAGACCCGCTGCACTCTCATCTGTTTTTCTGTCACTCCTGACAGTAGTCTTAACAGTTTTGAAACATCTCTCACCTTGAGCTGCCTCTAACCGCCTGTAGATGAACTGTGAACATGCTGCCTTTCTTTCAGTATCAGACAGACTGCTGTGGATTTCTCAGTGATAATTAAGAGGCATGTTATCTTTTCAATTTAACATGTGTTCATACCGCTTTTATCATATGTGTAAATACTATTAGCTAATGATCTTGAATACCCCAATACCCCCAGTACAACATCTTGAGGTATTATTTATTTAGAGTTTAGAGGCCTGGTGGCACCAGAAAGTGACACTTTAATCTGTGCTATGTGGTGGCATACGTTTGGTGATGTTCTGATTTGTCACAGTGTTAGTTGCCAAATTTCTGTGGCTGCAGAGCTAACCACCAGCCAGGCTACAACAACAGCTCGCTGAGCTTCTTTCTATTTTCTCTGCACTGGGTTGTTTACTCTGACATTTTGTCCTATTGTTCTTGTTTGCTACCCACTCGAAAAATACCAGTGGTGGAAAGCAACAAGTACATTTATTCAAGCACTGTACCTAAGTGCAAATTTGAAGTACTAGTACTGAGTATTTTCATTTTATGCAACTTTATACCGGCTTTATTACTTTACAGTTACAATTTTCCATACCCCTACTGTCCAGTGAAAACCATGTATCTCCAAACGTGTTGATTTTTTACTTTTCTAAAAAAAGAAAAGTGAAAAACTGAAGGATTAAGTTCCTATACGGGTTGAGAAAATTCTCCTACTTCTTAAACTAAATCAACTATTTTGGTTTAGCAGGAAAATGCATCGTCACTGAGTTCATGAAAAGCTGACTTAAAGATACATGGTTCTCACATATGATGGTTTTATAGACTATGATGCATTGCTGTAGATTAAACTACCCAACAATATATAAAGTAGTTAAAATGACAGCAGTAAAATAGCCACCCTTCAGTCCCCAGCTCACCGTGGAGCAAAACCAAAGACAAACACCTGTAGCTGCTATTACTGGAATGCACAGGTGTCGTGTTCTCGTGTTATATAGCTCACTCACACTAACACTAACTGGAAAAGCCTGCTACATGTTCTGTAACTTATTTACAGAGGTGACGAGGAACCTCTGAACTTAATGACATTCGGAATGTGATAGAGAGGTGCTAACAGACACCCTTGTGTGTAAGCTAATGCTTACAGGTTGGATTTCCTCCTAATTTATGTTAACAGGGGGACACAAACTGGCACTGTGTAACATCTTCCTACTGTATACTGCATTCTTCAATCTGCACTTCAACACATAGGAGCCACTCAGTCAGTCCTCAACCTATCAATCACGTCTTCTTCTTGTAGCAACTCTCAATATCTAAATATATCTTAGGCATGACATAGTTTTACAGCGTGCAGATAATTAAGGAAGTTAGATGTTAAAGGGAAGAGCCTTATCTTTCAACACATTTCTGTTTACTGGCACTTTGTAGCCAGTACTGGCTTTATTGTCCTTGAAGATAGCTTCACAATACAAAGACAGAAGTAGAACTGCACTTTATGACGAGACAATGTCCTTCCCTCCTCTATTGACTATGTTTAAATACTATTTGAATGATATTCCTCTTTTGCTGATAATCTGTAAAGCCAAATCAATATTTAATTGTGTGCTTATCAGTCCCATTTTTCCTGTGTTGTAATGGCATTGTAATTTAACATAGAGGACTTCTCAATTGTTGACTTAAGCAAAAGAGTTCACATAATGCTCATTACCACCGTACACTGAAGTCCCAGAAGGCTGTTTACTCATACATCCTAAGCTGCAAATGATAGATATTGTGCAGTAACACCCTCTGCATACAAAAGCACTCGCTCATGCAAAAATAAAGTAAGTAAAAATAAGTGGTCTGCTTGTCTGTCAACCTACAGAGAGGTTCAAGAGGTCAAAGCAACAGATGAGAAGATAGCAGATGAGTGGATGATGAAATGCATTGTTTCATGCTGCAGTTATGTTATGCAAATGATCAAGATTAGTGTACAGTACAGCAAGTACAGGTAACAGATCATAAGTCTTCATAAAGGAAGCTTTTTTGCATGTTCCGCATTGCTGGCAGCCACCTGGCAGAATCAGAGACAAGTACTTCTCAAAGATGTATTTAGAGGCTGTTGTCCACTATATATTCTATATGTTCAGTCAGTGGACGTCAAGCATGTACTGTAACTTAACATCCATGCAATGCAAGCAACTTGTGACTTCCCCTGTACAAACAAGTTTCCATGTTGTGCAATCATTTTATAACCTTTCCCATTGTCAAGAAGTGCTGGGAACTTCACACTTTGACTTGTTTTGTGATCTGATAGTGATATTTAAAGTTCCCCTTTACTCAGAACTTCAAACTTTCCAACTGGAAAGCTTTTTAGAGCTCACCTTAAATCTGGGCCAATCATGGTCCAGTATGCAACATACACAGGTGGGATATGAACTTGAAATATCCAGTGCACATATACTGTACACTAAGAATGGGCTTTTTAGTGAATTTCTTTGTGAAAAACCATATCAGACACAAGTTTTTATTCAGAACAGAGTATTTTTATATGTCTTAAAACATGTCAGGAAGGGATGGTTCAGGGTTTTTGAAGTGTGATTGTATGAGGTACTTTATTCTACAATAGATGGCGGTCTGCGTTTCTATCTGGTGGTCTTTAGTCTGGTGGCTTTGCAGAGAGCATAGATGAATCTAGTTGAGTTTCCTGTATGAAAGGGCTCTGCGCAGGCAAGGTAAAGTGGTGAAAATATACTAAACATAGCATACACTTAAACTGATATTGATTTTTTTCAGGTGGCTAAAGTGTTGGGGATGCTACTTTGAAAGCTTAGCTTTGGAAGCAGACTGGAAGAAGTTGAACTAAAGCAAAGCTACCCTAGGGAGAAGTCTGAAGTTTGGTTAACTGTAGATACTTAGAAAAAGTACTTCAAACTACTTTGTAAGAAATATGGTAATGTGATACTAAATAATACAAAATAGTGCATTACTTTCCATGGGAAAGTAAAAGGAATGTCAGTTAGAGAAGCAATGGTAAAGTAAAATAAATAAAATATTCCATCACTGTGTAAGAATTACCAGCAAGCTACTGCAAAACATAAATAAACTACTGCTTTAATTCCATGTAGTTCACTCATCCCCAACAGTTCTCACTGCAAGGCCATTGCTTCTGCACCGGCTTTATTTCATTGTATTGTTGGATTTTATTTTTTATATTTTACTATATTTTCTCACTCATCGCACTACATTCCCCAGTGCTGAACTTGAATTTCCCCCTTTCAATAAAGAAACAGCTAATTTAGTACTATTGTTACTTTAACACTATTACAGGAAACACTGAGTGACGTTAAACCGGAGCAGTTTCTCTAAAATAGCTCACCAATCTTTGTCCCCAACAGTTTTTTTAGTACAGCTTGTAAGCTAAATGTAATGAATAAATACCACAATATATCTTTATGGTGTGTATGCATTGTTTCTTTTGAATTGTCACCATCCACCAGCTACAGTTGTCTCCCATTTCCTAAACCCATTCATTCATCACTGCCTGTTTCTGTGTTTTTTTCTGTTTCTTGATGTACTACATCATACCAAAGCAAACAATACATTCTTCAGTTTACATTACATTTGGCGCACACACACATACATCATATCATTATTTATAGTAACATTTTAGTTTAGATACTCCTAAAACTGTACACTAACTAAACAAATACATCAGAAGAACTGGATATAAAATGTGTTTTTTTCTTCTGATGAATAGTGTCCACAGTTAGCTGTCTGGATCGTCCTGAGTAACACTGTTTATGGAAAGACACATTGCTGATGAATTTTTTTAGAGACATTTGTAATTGCTGTGAGCGCCACATATAAAATTACACTCACCGAATTTCTCAACATCTGCTCAAATCAACCAAAATGTGCGTAGCTATGCCTACACGCACCACTGGAGGTAAGTGAGGATGTGTTGACAACTGACCCTTTAAGGTGACAGGTATTTATGATAGAAAATGCTGGAAGCCTCTGAAACTGGCTGAAGGGAGACTGAATGTCAGTAGAAAATAAATTATTTATATAATGTGTTAATAAACACAGTTTTGCTACTAAATATTAGCCTGCATAGCTGGTATGATTCAACCATTCAACCATTAAATTAATCAGCAACTATTTTGATAATTGATCAATTGATATCTGAAGAAAAAATTTCCAAATTCTCTCAAACTATCGAGAACATTTTGGATCATTGGTTGCCTGCTACTAGTGATTATTTTCATTATCAATCAATTGTTTGCTTTATAAAACTGCAGAAAACTACGTTAGCAAGCGAACTAATGTTAAGCCAAATAAACTGAGAAAGTTGGGAAAGACTCTTTGTCAATAAAACGTGATGAATAAAAAAAACAACACGTAAAAATGCCTCTCTTAACTCACATTACATAAGGAACCTTTAAACCATTATTAAGATTGTTGCAGATTCATTTTCTGCTGATCGACGGTACAGTATACTGCAGCCCTGGGTTAACCCTTACGACATGTATTAGATGCCACTGACTGGAATAATCTTTGTTTTTCCTCCAGCTTCTCCTCAAGGCACTGAATGAGAATGGGGTCCACTTTGGGGTCAAACTTATTGGCGAACCAGTGCCCATAGTTGAGTAACCAATGCAGTTCGGCTGCCCCAAAAATACAAACGCTGCGAACGTGTTCCCCTGAGCATGGTGGGTATAGGTTCTCCTCCAGGTATTGCCACTTCACCAGCCTGGTCTTACTCATCAGGTCAGTGATATCAGGCTGGGATCTGTGCACCCCACCGGGTACACCTTCCAGTCTCACAAGTGTAGCCCAGAAGTGTTCATCTGGGGAGTAAGTGTCCTCTGACCAGGCCAGAAAATCTTTCACCACCACCGAGGAGTCTATGTGCACCACGAAGTCCCGTGACAAGACAAAGTAGGCGTTCCCGATGAACATCTCGATACCGTGTGGTGGCGGTGGCTTCACCTGCTCCGTTTTCACTGGGAGTTTCTGATATTCAAAGCTGGCATCTCTCAGCTCGTAGTGAAAGGTGAACCTCTGCTTCTTGGAATCAGTGGGGCGGCTTGTCTCCAGCATATTAGCTCCCTTTAACTTCTTCAGTTCTGACACAAGCTCGATGTTAGACTTGAGGGGGAAATCCTGACCACAGAGGTTGATGACGTACTTCCACTTGACTTCTGACCCCAACAGGTCGGACAGACAGTTGAGATCAGCTTTCAATCGACTGACGCTCGCATAAAAGACATTCTCTCGCTTGGAGGCAATGAAGACATTGGGCAAACAGCGGGCTAAACCCTCCATGGCTGCGATGAACTGAGCTGAAGACTTTTGATCATAGTGGAGACAATAGATATTGCTGGGCGAGTACAGCGCTTTGATGAGTCTCTCTACCATCCATGCAGATTTATGCACAACCAGAGAGTAAGCAAGAGGAAAGTCTTTCTCCTCCTCTGAGACACACACGTCATCGTAACCCCTGGACTTGATGAACAGCGGGCAGTTTGAGGTGAGGTTAACCAGGCTTTCACCCTTGTCCTCCACCACCTGATTCTTTCTGATGATCAGCGATTTACCCACCTCCACTGGGTCCATGTCATATATAGCCAAACAGTTAATATTGTATTTGTTGAATGTCTGGATGTCATCTTGAACTGCCGGGGAAGGTTCTGTTTCGTTGATGTACTTCACTCTGATTAATAGCAAGGCACACAGAGTCAGCAGTGACAGGAGTGAAGGAAAGAACTTTCTTCTCAGTCTCAGCAATGAACATCCTTTATTCATTCTGTGGGGAAGGGGGGGGACATGGGCAATAAACAGAAACCAAAACTTTGTTTTATTAAGCGGTTTGACATGAGACCTGGAAACCACGTGTGGATTAGATTGCAGCCTGCAACACACAGCGTAATTCTTCCCCGTTTAATTCCAATTTAATTAAATATGAATAATCAATTGTACTAACGGTGTACCAGTACAGTACGTGCCGATACGTACATGTAGGTGCAAGGGAACAAGATGTGAAGTTATGGAGTAACCACAAAAAAGAAAGTCATTTTAATTACTTTCAATATGATATATTTCCAATATGAGTGTGACCCTAACTGAGAGCTGCACACGTGGAGATGTTGTCAAGGGTCGCTATAGAGACGTTTTCTATAACTATCGTCTGTTTTGGCAACAGGTCTGGTCGGTGGTTTGAAGTTGGTTTACAGTTGAAACATCCTGAGTTTGAGAGTAATAAAGTGTCTCACAGCGTATCATTTCTGAATCAGTGACATCTTTTACAGTAACTTATATATCTTTTCAAAAAGGCCTTTTATTTATTCTAGCACACTTTTATTTCTACCATGTCTTATCTATTTTATTATTATTATAGTTTTTTAGCCTTTATTAGTGTTAGGTATTTTATTGTATTTTTGAATTGCCTCAGTGCAGTTAATCTGCAATAGATATTTTATCGTATTGTTAGTATTTATCTTTATTGTTGTTTTTTATTCCACCTCCAGGGGTGGATCTAGAGAGATATTCGTGGCCAAAGGGTGGTGTCACATTACATCTTTGTGGCACATTAGTAGAGCATTGTATAGACATGTCTAAAGCTGGCCTTAGAAATCAATACATTGTTATATTTTTGAGCCTTTTTTAACAAGTTATTTTTAAAAAGAATCTATATGAATGTGTTAAATTTGGCATTTGACACCAAATTAGGGTAGCCAGACCACTTTTTACCCTCATTTTAACCCCTCTGGATCTGCCCTTGTCCACCTCATTAATGTATGATTTTAATTGTCTGATTTTATTTGACTTTTTTGCCTCCTGAAACGTTTTAAACCCTGCTTCAACCATGTAAAGCACTTTGTAACATTGTTTTTAAGGAATCGAGGACATGTATGTATCATTATACAACACAAGGTTGTATAACGAAATGAAAGACTGCAGTTCCTTCATGCTGCACACATATTCATAAATAAAGTTTATTGTTCTTTTATACTGTGTTCGTGCCCTGTTAGACTATCAGAGGACATAAAATCAATCATCTTTTACAGCTTCTTTTGACTGATGGATAAACTGGTTTTCAGGTTAGTTAATTATTAATTATTATTATTACTATAGTTATTTAATGTAGAAACCTCATTAGAGGAAAGCTTTACTCCATGAACTCTGAACACTGTAACAACAGTGCGAATCTACCTCAGGCTGGTTTTCCCCTCTAACTACAACGTTATACAGGTTATGTAGTTCGTCTGTCCTCATTTTGTTATCATTTGTACCCCTCCTGTGTAGTGTTACTATATGGGCATTTTGAAATAAATCACAGCAGGTTTAGAAAAAGCTACAGAACTCATTAACCCACCTCCCTCCACCTCTGGGTGACCTTTGTAGCTCAGCAGTTCTTATTTTGCACCCCGAGTTAAAAAAAAGCCAACAGTATAAATTCTAAATAAAGTCCCCAGAATGATACCTTATTCCTTAACTTCACATCTTGTTTACACCAGTGTAAGAGAAGATCTGCGCTGTACATTGCGGATTGCAATCTAAAGCGTTACCGATTAATACACACTGAATAATAGCCCAATTATTCACACTCACCTTGCTCCATACGCGGGTACCGGTCCGCCAAACGCCTGGCAAACCGCTTCACCAAGTCACACCCTTAAAGTTATTAAAACGTCGATATATTCAGATTTCATACACCTTTCTGTTCGTTATAATGAATCTTTTTCATAAGGAAAAAAAAAGCAACTCACCGACATCAGGAGAAATGTGCCATTTCAATTTTTACGCACGACTGGTGCGAAATCTGTTGACAAACTCCACTTGAAGCATTAATCGCAGTCCGAGATTTAATTTGCCACATGGTTATCCAAAGCATATAGAGGGTCAAGAAGTACAACACGCTCTGAGCTGCATCCTGTAACTGGCACATGCATGTGTGCGTATCGGTGAGGAGAGAACAGCGCGTCGCCCGTAGATGTAACCCGGAAAGGGAGGGAGGGGCTCAAGGAAGAGACTAACTGCCACTAATTGCAGTTCAGTACAAAAATGTTGTTTGGCATTTCATATGTCACCACCGGTGTTTACCCACAGTCACATGTAGCACATTGTAAAAGAGAATAAGAAAAGCGCAAGGAAAGGGCTGGAGCTGTGCGCAAATTACAGATAACCCTAAACAGCTAATTAAAGGGGATGAATGGAAACCCCGTGGCTGCAGTCATCTGAACTCACTAAAAGAAGACTGAGGGAAGGTTCAAGGAGACTGTACCACTCGGACAGACTGACTATTTTCTAGAAGCATTCCTTTTTTCTTTTAAGTGAGTCAGGTGAGCTCAAGGTCTGTGAGGGGGAAGACTTCAGAGGAGAACCAGTTGGTGAAAACCTGTTGTGTCTGTAACCAGATCTTATCCAGCTAGGTGTAATGAAGGGGAAATATCAACTCCCATTACTGTTAACAAAAAATGTATGAGTGTTTCATGTTGACGAGTACGGAAGCGTATTGCATTCACCTGGGGAAAAAAAAAGAAACTCTGTTTTTTCTGAGTAATTTATTTTTTGGTTTGTTTCTTTTAATATTTTTTCCTGTTTTTCAGAGTAATTTTTTTCCCCTGAATTATCGAGATACTTCGAACTCCCGCGAGAACCTCCAACCTGTAAGTGACTCCCATTGACCTTTGGTGACTCCTGCCCGCACATAATGCCCCATCTTCAACTATCTACCGTACCGGGTCAATTTTGCTATGTATATATTGCTATGTCTAGCAGATCTGAATGGGCTTTCCTTCTGAACAACCGCAAAGTCCTCAGGTTCCTGCGTAGAGTCGACAAACTAATGATAATACCATCTATATGACTTAAAGACAGGACTATCTCCCAGTGTCTGAAACCCAGATCAAAGTAAAACTTGAGCCGGTTATGTTTGTTTCTCTCAATAAAGGAATGAATGCGTCTATTGTTTCAAATGCTCTCTAAACTCAGGCCAAAAATGAACTACTAAAGCTGTTTCAGAATCAGTGACACATTTTGTGTGTGTTCTTTAACATGCTTATACTGAATTGAAACTTGACTGAATGACTCAGCAGTTGGAATTCACTTAAAACAGGTTCTGCTGAATACAGTAGATCAACATAACTCAACTGACTATTATAAGGTAATCAGTACAGTTTCCGTCTTTGTTTCTCAGAAGTGACACTAAGCAACAGCTTTTACTTCAGCATTATTTAAAACTAGTGTATTGGTATTTACAACCATGTATTATCATAAATATTGTGCCACATCGCCACTTGTTCAACAGAAGAGAACATTTACTGCCTCAAACTCTAAAGGTGATGTGAAACTCTTCCAGCATGAGGCTACAAATGTTCTTTAGAGCCTTTAGTAATGTGATTTACCTTCTAATAATGTATTTTGACCCACTGGGGATGAATGAAATCATGTAAAATGTATGTGTAAAGGGTGTTTTATGCAGAAATCCAAATGCTGTATTGCTGAGAAGAACAATGTCTCACTGTGAGAGACTGTGGAGCCACGTTCATTCAACGTTATTTACGTCCTAGTTACAGCAACAGGACATATCTAATTTGATTATACTGAACTGAGAGAGGATTCAAATACCAAAATAACATCAAGACTTTATGTACTTTTCACGGTTAAACAAACACGTGTGGTTTGCATAAGTCCAAAATATTCAAATTCTACCTACCTCTGTTCCAGGAAGTCCAGGAAATACTGCTACACACTTTTCACTCACTGGTAATGTTTTGTGAATACTCTGTCTCCTCCAGGGTCTTATAAAGTACAGCCAGGTTTTCTGGGGCCAGATGGTGGTAATTTGATTAAACACAACTTTAATGTGGACCATGCCAAACCAATACAGGCCTAAAGGAAAATAATTAAAGTCTTTAAACTAGATTTTGAAAACAGGACAGTTAGGCTACAAGACTGGGTCATAATGAAGGGATCATAGAAGTCACGATAAAAAACACTGAGATACATTTATAGCTGTGAATTTCCATTAAAGTGATAATCGTGAATCAGGATAATCGTGAAAGATTTATTCTGAACAAGGGGACCAGGGGGGAGCATCCCAAAATCCTAACCCTGTCACCATGGCGGAAGGGTCGGTTTGTCCGTTGCATCCCACAAAAAACAAAAGTTAAACAGGATGTGTGGAAATAGCACAGATTTCAAAATAAAGAACAGGGAAATGAGGTTCCTGTCTGTTGTGCCATAGTTTCCAGTATGTTAAGGGTATTGAGTATATTTTCATGATTATATGATAATAATATCGTGTATTGCATTTATTTTTGCCAAGATAATCAAGACAGGAAATTCTCATATAGTATTTTAGTGGTGAAAATGTTTATATACGTCTAATTGTAACATATTTGCAATTATAGTAATCAAATTACCAAAAACCAAATGACACAGAGTGAATCAAAAGGCTCTGGGGATATTAAATATTTATTTTATCCCAGGTTATTATGATTCATTATCAGCATGATAATTATCCTTTTAATATCCACCATGTTTGAATATTGACATAATATCAGAATCAGAATCAGTCGTCACATACAAGGAATTTGCCTTGTTAAATTGGTGCATAACAATTAAACATAGAGAAATATAAGTAAAGATAAAAAGAGACAATATATACAAATATAAAAAGAGAAACGATACGGCTGAACATTTCAATAAATAAGTGAAGAGCTGTACAGGAATGTGCAAAGAATTGTCCGGGGGATTCTGCATATTAGCATATCACCACATGTATGTGAACAAGCATCCAATAAAAACATATCAAAATAAATAAAAAAGCTTTAAAAAACACTGTATGTCACCTTTAAATGTCATCAATGAATATGGATGCTAAATATACCTAACAATAAATCAATCCAAGCAGTATATATTAACAGAAAAGAGAGATAGAAGGAAAAAGAATCTATCAACAGACATATCCTAATCAAACCCCCAAAACATGTAAAATAACCTAAGTGGGGATATAAGTATGAAGATATATATATATATATATATATATACAGAGAGAGAGAGAGAGAGAGAGAGAGAGAGAGAGAGAGAGAGAGAGAGTGGAGAGTCTTAAGGCACTTTTTTCCCCCCAGTTGTCTTAAGGATTTATTCACAAATGCCACAAAGCTTGGAGCAACTTCAACTTCAAAATCTACACCGGTGAATGTAAAATGCACTTCTAATGAAAATAATACAATTCAACATCTTTGTTTTGCATAAAAATACCAAACCTAACATTATGATATTCAAACACAGGCATTATGTAAGTGTATGTATCTCTATGTAACCTGAATCTCACCCGTAAGAAATCACCGCAGGGATTAATCCCGTTAATTGTTTGGAAATAAACAAACCAAACAACAACAACGACCCGTTTCCTCTGATTGTGCAGCGGCTCGCATTTGACCACGCCCCCGCGACGTAGCGTCAAGTCACGTCATCAGCATGACGTCGGGATTTCCGCATCGCCATATTGGTGTCGTTGCGTCAGGATGAAGTAGCTAGCTGAGCGACTCGTGGAAAGGGACATTATCATTATGGAGAGGACCGTCTGACCACGGCGAGGCTTACATTTGGAAGTATGTGAGTTCAGTATTTGTTTTGTCGTTAAACGGGAACATTAACGGCGTTATAACGGGGAGGGGAATGACCTTGGTGGGGGTAGCTAATGCTAACCAATGCTAACCGACGAGTCCCACCGGTCGTCTCAAACGCGGACATTTCCCTGACTTTATAAATGTTAAAGAGAGTATCTGAGTAATGTTTCGCGCTGGTGAACCACCAAACAGCAGCTAACGTTGTAGCGTAGCCTCACAGCTGTCAGCTAAAGATACAAACAGATAAGATACCCGATGAGGCTGTGGTATTATTATTATTACCACCCAATCCACAGCATCATAATCTCTCTACATAAAGCTGGCTCTTGTGTTGTTGACTGGGAATGATGGGACAGTTTTCTCACCCCCCCTTTTTTTTTCTTGTTGTAAGTTACAGGTGAGGCTGTGAAGGCATCCTGAGACCATGTTGGCTCATCTGTTCAGGCTCCATGGCCTGCTGGTGGCCTCCCACCCGTGGGAGGTGATAGTGGGCACCCTCGTCCTCACCGTCTGCCTGATGTCCATGAACAGCCTGGCCGCCAGCAACCAGATGTGCAGCTGGAACGAGTGCCCCAAAGTGGAGGAGGTGAGTGTGCCGGGGGGAGAAAGCTGCTGTGGGTGTGGTAGGGTGTGCTCAGTGTTAACAAGAGGTCGGTCTTGTGTTTGTTTGCTTACAGAAAATCCACAGCAGCGACATAATCATCCTTACAATCACACGCTGCATGGCCATCGTTTACATCTATTTCCAGTTCAAGAATCTACGACAACTGGGATCCAAATATATACTGGGTCAGTATGAGAGGATGCCAGCTCGTCATTTATCGCCCAGCTTTCCTATAAACATGCCGCACGCAGTAAATATTTAAACAACATTCACCTTATTTCTCTTCCTACAGGTATTGCCGGGTTGTTCACAGTGTTTTCCAGCTTTGTTTTCAGTACGGTGGTCATACACTTCTTTGGGAAAGAGCTGACAGGCCTTAAGTAAGTGCTGCAAATGTAAACATATACTAGACTAATACAACTAGTTCACCAGTTTAGACTGTCACCTAACCTCAGTTGACCACAGTGCATGAATAAATACCTGTATGTATTGTTTTATATTTATTTACAAATTTATGTTATCCTACCTTAATTATCTGTGTGTGTAGCATTAAGAGACAACAACTTAATTTTAGAAGTTGTATCAAGGTACCTTGTAAATTAGATCAGGGGTCAGCACCGTTTTTCTTCATCACACAGATCTGTACATTGATTCAGTCCATATAAGCCATGTACATACAGTACATCAGGACGTTGTAATTATATACGAAGGCTGCCATCCTTACGAAAACGTCCACATCTGGGTTGAAATCATATAAACAGTACTAAGACAAGAAGACCAACTGCCAGTGGCTACGAAAGAGGCCATCTGATGTGGTTGAGAGGGCAAAAGAACTCTAGCACACTTACTGCTCGTGTGTCATTGGTTAAACTACAGCGTGCCAATGATGGCAATGCATGGCCTAAGGTTGCTGACCCCTGCCAAAGATAAGTAGTATGGCAGTGAGATCAAACCTTTCAGATGACGTGTGTTCAAGCTGATGGTCAGTCAGGTGATAGGTATACATTGTTGTCTGTCCTCTTTCTGTTATAACGGTGCACAGTTGTTGGCAGCTGCAGCTAAAAACGATAGATTCTGGTTAAAACTTACTGTACATTCATTTTGATCATGAGTTATTTGATTTAATGCTGTTATCAGAAATCTCACTGGAAGGGTCTCACAGCTTGACATTGTCACAGAGGACACATAAACATTTCAGTTTCACTTGTGGAACTTGTCGACAATGAGGGCAAAGATGGCAGTGAAATATGACACTGTCGTTCCCTGACTGACATTCGACTCATTTTCCTGCAGTGAAGCCCTGCCGTTCTTTCTCCTGCTCATTGACCTGTCCAAAGCCTGTGCACTGGCCAAATTTGCCCTCAGCTCAAACTCTCAGGTAATATCTCACACACCTTGTCTTAAACTGTAACTGAATTAACATCAGTCAATAAATATGAAGAAAACTAGGATGCTTGTGCATGTAAACACAGTCACTGACTCGTGCTATGGTCTGTGTCTTGTGTATAGGAGGAGGTGAGGGAGAACATCTCCCAGGGCATGGCCATCTTGGGCCCCACCTTCACCCTGGATGCTCTGGTTGAGTGTCTGGTCATTGGGATTGGCACCATGTCGGGTAAGAGATACTAGTATTTCTTCTCCTCTAAAATGACGACAGCTACGTGATGGTGAATTGAGTAGACCGTTAAATGAATACTATTTTCTGTTTTCCAGGTGTGCCTCAGTTAGAGATCATGTGTTGTTTCGGCTGTATGTCTGTCCTGGCCAATTACTTTGTCTTCATGACCTTCTTCCCTGCGTGTGTCTCCCTTGTCCTGGAGGTAAGAATTATATGTAACATTTGGGAGAATTATAAGTGGTGGAAATAAGCTCCTTGCATCTCTCATTAAATTTCTGTGTGTGTTCATGTGTGTTTGCATGTATAGCTGTCCAGGGAAAACCGCGAGGGCCGTCCAATCTGGCAACTGAGCCACTTTGCCCGTGTGCTGGCCGAAGAAGAGGACAACAAGCCCAACCCTGTGACCCAGAGGGTTAAAATCATCATGGTGAGAAACTATTGAGCTCTACATTAAAAAAACATGGTACTAAGTCATCTGTCATCAGTGTAAAGGTGACTTAAAGAATAAAAGAATTATGAAGCATATAAACAATCTCACTGGGATATGTGTTTCATGATGTCCCCTCAGTCTCTGGGTCTGGCCTTGGTTCATGCTCACACTCGACTAGCGGCTGAAAATCCCGGTCAGAATCGCACAGTGGACGGGCCCATAGCTAAGAGACTGGAAGCTGGTGGTACCATGTTGCCTCTGAAGCTCAGCAGGTAAAAGCATCAAACAAGGAAGAGTGCACCTTCCATAAATACATTTGCCTGGTATCAACTCCTGTACTTTAACCACTGATGCATAACTTTGTCTCTACCAGTATGGACCTGGAACAGGTGATAACTCTCGGTCTTGCCCTGCTCCTGGCTGTGAAGTACGTCTTCTTTGAGCAAACGGAGACAGAGTCTTCCCTGTCCCTCAAGAGTCCCATTATAAGCTCTCCTCAGACTCAGAGGCCCAGGGGGACAGGGGAATGCTGCTGGAAGGAATTATCGGCCCCAAAACCCCAGAAGATCATGAACGGTACCATAGCAACCAACTACACCTCCTCAGCTGCCTCAGACTTGAAACCTTCCCCTGAGGCCGACACAGCGTTCAGAGAGAAGGGTGAGACTCATAATTGGCCCTGCTAGCTTTAGAACGTCTGTACCCACTGATAAACAAACAAACTCTAATGCAACGGCTTTGTTGCTTAATGTGTGTTTGTCTCCCCCCCGATTCTTTTACAGCGGAGCCTCCAGGAGCCTCAGTGGACAACGGCCCCAGTGTTTCATGTTTTGGGGAGTCCTTCGCTCTCACACCTTGTGTTCCTCAAAGTCCAGAGGCCCGGACGCTGGAGGAATGTATGGCCATCCTCTCAGATCCCCAGGTACGCTGCCAGAGCAGATGGAAATCCTCTCTCTGGGTACAAAGCAGAAGATGTCTTTGGTTGTTTATTGGTCTGAAGGTTTGCCCTTTGTTGCTTTCCAGAGAGGTGCCAGTTTTCTTAGCGATAAAGAGGTGATGAACTTGGTAACGTCACGCAACATCCTGAACTATAAACTGGAAACTGTCCTTGAGACTCCAGAGAGAGGCGTGGCCATCAGGAGGGAAATGCTATCACCCAAACTGCCTGTTCACTCTGCCTTGGCTTGTCTGCCTTACAAGGACTACGACTATTCGAAGGTACTGGCAATGTGTATCTGTCCTATTTATTGTTAAACCCCCTTATCTACAAACCCATTTATTTCCTTACATTTCTTACCAAATGTTTCTGTGTTCATGTTGCAGCTTTATTTATTACTCTGTGTTCTTGCCCTCTAGGTGATGGGAACTTGCTGTGAGAATGTCATTGGCTACATGCCGGTGCCAGTAGGAGTGGCTGGTCCCCTTCTGTTGGATGAGAAACAGTTTTACGTTCCCATGGCGACCACAGAGGGTTGCCTGGTAGCGAGCACAAACAGAGGATGCAGGGCACTCTCTGTAAGTGAGCGATATCTGGCTCTGGCTGTTGTCTGTCTGTCTGTGTGTGTCTGTGTCTGTCTGTGTGTGTCTGTGTGTGTGTCTGTGTGTGTGTCTGTGTGTCTGTGTGTCTCTGTGTGTGTGTGTGTGCCGCGCTGACTCTGTTGTCATTCCTGTCCAGCTGAGTGGGGGTTGCCGCAGCAGGATCCTAGCTGACGGTATGACCAGGGGTCCTGTGGTGAGGCTGCCCTCAGCGTGCCGGGCTGCAGAGGTCAAAGTCTGGCTGGAGACCGTGGACGGATTCAACGCGATCAAAGAGGTTTTCGACCGGACCAGCAGGTCAGCAGAGACACCGACGGAAACACGATTACACTGATTGATTTCAGTTTCCTTTGGTCACATCTGTAAAATGTAAGATCATAAATGAATATTTGCTCTTGGTAGGTTTGCTCGTCTGGAGAAGCTGTTTGTGGGTTTAGCCGGGAGGAACTTGTACATTCGCTTCCAGTCTCAGACGGGAGACGCCATGGGCATGAACATGCTCTCCAAGGTACGGCCAATTGTTCTGTAGCAGTCGATGCAATGTGATTGCAACCATTGCTCCCCTCTTCAGTCGGCTTACTCTGTTGTCCTGACAGCGTTCTCTGTATCTCCAGTACTGTAAATAACTCTGTGTGTGTGTGTGTGTGTGTGTGTGTGTTGTGTTTTGTCAGGGCACCGAGCAGGCTCTGCACAGACTCCAGCAGCAGTATTCAGATGTACAGGTGCTTGCGGTCAGTGGGAACTACTGCACTGACAAGAAGTCTTCTGCCGTGAACTGGATCATGGGCCGGGGAAAGGCTGCTGTGTGTGAGGCCACCATCCCTGCCAGTGTGGTCAGGGAGGTAAATACAACTAAACTAAACTTCACGGAGTTTATTTATTCATTTTTACAACAGTTCTTTGTTTTACTGCTGCTAGCTATTTCTGTTTCTTAAACCTCTCATTTCTTACTAAAACAACCTATTAATCTATCTGCAGTTGTTAAAAAGCAACACAGCTGCGCTGGTGGAGCTGAACATCAACAAGAACTTGGTGGGCTCGGCCATGGCTGGCAGCATCGGGGGCTTCAATGCTCACGCTGCCAACATCGTAGCAGCCATCTACATCGCCTGTGGACAGGTAATAGATCGCTCCACATGTTTGAGCCCTTAGTTACTACACTTACAGTTAATTCAGAGCAAGTGTGTGTTCATATGTTCGTGTGTGTGTGCGTGCGTGCGTGCACGTTACCACCACACTTACTGAGTGATCTCGCTGTATTGCTTGTTCCAGGACCCGGCTCAGACTGTGGGGAGCTCCAACTGTATCACCCAGATGGAGCCTGCTGGTCCAGAAGGGGAGGACCTGTACATCAGCTGCACTATGCCCTCTTTAGAGCTGGGCACTGTGGGAGGGGGCACCAACCTGCCACCACAGCAGGCCTGTTTGCAGGTAATGTCTCTAAGATCGTTTTAGTTAAGTTATGACCCTGCAGAGACTGACTGATGAATCAGAAGAACTTTTTAAGACTGCAGATAGATAAGGAAACAGAAACTGAGAGTCTGATGAGATGGTGGCTGGTGACTTTAATTTAACTGTTCTACCGTAAAAGGCAACCATGTATAACCTGCCACTGTTGGTGCATAGCCAGGAGTAGGATTGGTAACCCAGTTCTCTGATGTTTTAAAAACTCCATCTCTGTCTTCAGATGCTTGGTGTCCAAGGTACCAGTTCCAACCAGCCAGGCGAGAACGCGCGTCAGCTGGCCCGCGTGGTCTGCGGCACCGTGCTTGCAGGGGAGCTCTCCCTGATGGCTGCTCTGGCTGCTGGACACCTCGTCAAGAGCCACATGACCCACAACAGGTTCGATATTTTACTTAGGTTCTTTCTTTGGTTTGTAAACGCTGTAGTTGTCCCCCACCATTCCTGACTTTGTTCCGTTTCTCGCTCTCAGATCTAAAGCAAACCTGCCCGAAACACCTTCGTCGAAGTCAGAGACCGCCGCGTGACAAACTGTTGAGTCACTGACTGAGCACTTCAACCAACAGAAGAAACCTTCACTGTGAGAACGGAGAAGACTGAATGGTCTCCTGATGACGTGGTTTCTGTGGGTCGAGGACACCCAGACCTTTAAGACTAATGGGATAATAACCCGACCCAACATGCTGAAGACCACAGGCAACGTGCTTGCTTTGTGTGTCGCCTGACTGATTGCATAAAGACTCTTTCGGTTGAGATGTTACTTATTTGTGCCATTTTTCTGCAACTGAACATTGCAGTAGTGTTTTGGAAAGCGGTTGTTGTTGTTGTTGTTGGCACTGGTCTTTCAGACAACTGTGAATTATTGACGGGGTTGGGATTGGTAAAGTCGACCGCGCTGCAAGTCTTGAATGAGCATCCTATGCCTGTGAAATGTCGTAAGGCCAAAAAGAAAATGGCTTTTCCTGTCATGTAATGGAGAGACAAAGCTCCATGTTAATACTTGATGCATGAAATGAGGTTTTCAGACAGCTGGAACATCTGTTTTTCTCTGAGAAATTGATCTTTGCACTTGCCAAAAGCTTGCTTGGGACAGCGCTGCTACAGCTGTAGGCGACATATGCTCAAGTTTCAAATGCCAACTTTCTGCCTGAATGTGAGCTGTACTAAATCAGTGTTTTAGGGTATCACTTGCACAACCCTTCCTGAATTAAGGTACTGCTGTATACTGTGTATGCAGTAGAATGACTGTGGCTGCTGGTTCGAGGAAAGAAAAAGAACCTGCCAGCAGAGCTGCTTGTCACAAAGTGACTTCTTTGGACTCCGAACCAACTAGACAAATTGTTACAGGCGGGTTGCTTCTTTGTGTTGAGGTGAATAGGAAGAGTGGAAAATCAAAGCCATATTAAAGGTGGGGTAAGCGATTTTAATCCCATACACGAGTATCTCCTCACAGTCTGTAAATGTAAAACCAAACAACACTAACTTGTTATTCCAGCTTGGCTTGGTGTTTCAGCTAACTACCTTAAACTACCGGTCCACGGCCGTTGGGCTTACTTTTTTTTCCTACCAGTTTGCCAAGATACGCCGCTGCTGTGATGTAGCAGCAACTTTAGCGACAGGGTGCTAACATCAGGCCGTGTACTACATCATGCTATTGGATTTCTCCGGAATCGCTCACCCGATCTTTTAAGTACTTTAATAAGCTGTAATGGTACACTGTTATGTTTGAAAAGATCAGAGGATTTATTTGCATGGTGGAGGTTTACTGACAACAGATCCTTCCGTTAGGAAAAGCAGTGACGCTCAGATGTGGCCTTACATCCAGTATGTCTTGGAGAAGATGAGCCTTAGCATGTTCTAGCTAGAATAATCAATTTTAAGCTATTAATCAAGTTTTATTTAAAAAAAAAAAAATAAACCCTATGTTCCCTCATAATGTCTCATTTGTCTTTCTGTAGCATGAACAAATACTCAGAACGTAAACTGGAGGATAAACTTATTTATTTCACTTTTAAAACAGGGCAGAAATGCGATGCTGTCACAGTACATTTGTAAGTTGATCCCACAGCATTAGTATGAACAAATTATTTACAAAAATGCGTTTCTAATTACATTCAGTTTTAACAACTTGCTAATAACTAGAAATGTCTGCGTCAGGTGGAAGAGCTTCAGCCTAGCTTTTTTTCCACTTAGCTGAGAGGCTGAGTATCATCTGGCTTCACTCTCACCCACCTCATTCTGCTAAAAGCTCTAAAACCAAAGAGTGGAGGCTGATCAAATAGCTACACATCTCTCATCATTGATATGACCCATAAACATTTTGTGCTGTCTACAGGAAATACTACTAAAAATGCATTTAGGTAGCAGTACTGGTACTTTAAAAAAAAAGTATAGTCTGGAAAAGGAAAACTTAAACCAAATTGTGTATGCTTCAAAACCATCCCCTTGTGTCCACTGTAAAACTACAAAGTCCAGAGTTACTGTTTCAGGAAATGTATAAGGATGAGCAAATAAAACATCTAATAAGGAATTGTAAAAGTACACTGTTCCTATAAAAATCCACTCCTGTACTTAAACAGTAGATCCTTACTGGACTCTGGACTCTGCAGCCCTGCACTCGCATCAGCAACATTTTTAGATGGAAAATTCATGTTACAGAGACCTTAACTTGACTATAGTAACAGAATGGGTTCAGTACTTTTAAGTGCCAGTACATATCACGTGTAACAACCACCAGGCACACTGACAGAAAAGGTTGAGTCCTAAGAATACAAAAACGTAAGTAAAACTGATGCTGCTAGCCCTCTGTGGGAAAACACAAAGCAAGTGTGACCTGGTTTGTTCATTCTGTAAATATATTGTAGGACAGATTTTAAATGGAGAGGGGAATTTTAGCCACGAGGCACTTCACTATTGATTTCATAGGTGCATTACCAGAACCCTTTATTGCATCTGTAACTATATTTTCCTGTAACACTAAGGCATTTGGGCTAGACTCAGTCACAAAAATGATTTTCAGACCTTCAGAGAAATGTTAGTGACACTATTTACAACATTCAAAATATGTGCTATGACACTACGACGTTGTACAATGACGCAAACGTAAAGCCAAGCAAATAATGTACACAGACTTTTGTACATTAAATATATGACAAATCTCCCATCAACGTGTCGCTCCGTCAGCACCAACGAGGTGTCTTCATGAGAGGGACGGTGTCAAAAAGGTCAAGTCTTATGTCATAGGGGTCATGAGCTGATGACAGCCCTCTGCCTCTGGACTTATTACAAATGAGACGATATTCATCTCAAATCAATCAATAAGGTTTTACTAGCAAAGGTTAGCAGCTTTAAAAGAAAGCTGGGAAATGACTAATTATGAAAAATCAACACAATATAGGAACTATAAATGGCAAGAATAAAATAGTTCAGTCTATTAGCAAAGATCTGTTTCTTTCTTTACAAACCTCTTATAGAACATACATACATTTATATATTAATATATCTGTAAGAAAAGAGACGCGACCTGACATGTTGGCTACTCTTACAAGTCAGTCCTCTACATGAGCATGAAAGATGGCATCAACTGTGGCGTTATGAGCTGCTGCTAGAACTTTCATGTGGGAGGGGAAGGTAAACTGGGCCCCCTGCTTGGTGCATTGATCTCAGGAGACAAACAAGAACACTGACACTCTAATATATATATAATTATAATATAATAATCTCCTTGTAAATAACAGCAATTTAGTATTTGATCAATTAAATAACAATGTAGGGAAATACGTTTCTTTTGAAATGCTTATGATAAATTATGATCATATTCTTTCATATGAATGTCTCTCAGAGGTCGAAGGTTGTCTCCCAGATGTTTGAATGCAGCCACCAGAGGGCACCATTATGACCTTTCCTCTTCTACTGGAACTAACTTGTAGCTAAGAACTGGGAGGGAAGAAATCACTTTGAGGAGCTTGTCCGTTCACAGCAGCAGAGCAACAGTCAGTGGGAAGATCCTCAAAGCCTCTCGTGCAGTTCTGTCCTCGTGTCTCGACACTGGGAACACGGAGAAGATTCATATTATCATTTGGTCGCTTTTGCATTGAATAAAGATTGCGATGTGACAGATGGAAACATAAAACCGGATTAGTTCCCTCCTGTCTTACCTGTGAGCCTTAGAATAAGATGGGTTTGCCAGCAGTTTTTTCCTGGACGTAGGAGGTGAAGCGCTTGAGGAACTTGGGGTATTCTCTCTTAGCCACGGCCCTGAGCACGGAGGCAGGAGCCCAGCCTCCGGGATTCACTGCACACAGACACAGCATACCAACTTTACTGAGCAGGAAGGTTTGACTTCTTATTTAAAAAAAGGGAAAAATATGACCCCATCCATGGTTAGGATGTTGCTGTAAAAACTCTAAGGCCTTAAAATAGATGAAGGTTGACGACTGATAAATATGGGCTGGTACAGCTCAGAATACACCAGTGCATATCTTCACATATGCTTTCCTCAGGATGTTGTGACAGACAATGAACCCAAACCAATAAGTAAAACCCAAAACAAACAAGACACCCAGAGGAAGGAAAGTGTGTGGATGTGCGTTGGTGTCTTTATATGAAGTACTAGCCCGTATTATTTTCATTTTTAACCATTTCTTTGAATGCCTGGAATTAACTCTCACCAGTGCTTATAGGCAGCACCAGAAGAGTTCCTGTGTGCATTCTTTTCTTCCTATGACATAATATCAGTTTACACCTGATGATTAATGTTAAATGAAGCCAAAAGAATAGACGGACACCCACCATTGGCGACGTAGGTGATTTTACACAGGATGTTGTCTCTGCTGATCTCTTTATCTCCCTCTGGTGGGCTGACCAGGGTCTGGCAGATCATGCCGATGTTGATTTTGGCACGGACGCACCTGCTGGATGGCTGTAGGACGACAGCAGCAGTGATTATCGCTCAGAATCTCAATAAATATTGATGTCTGAAACCTAGAATGGCTCTGAATGAACTCGCTGGCTCACCTGTGCATCGTCGTGATCCACAGAGAAGTTACAGACCAGCCAGGTGTCTGGGTCATTCTCATTGTTGGCCAAGATCTTTCTCATGGCAGACAGGTACAGCACGTCCCTCTGAGATGCAGGCCACACTCTCTGCAATACAGATTATATTTTATTATGTAAAATTCAAATAATGATACATAAAATGTGATTCAAACAAGTCAAGTGTGGTGACTTGAATTTGTTTGTGTAGCTCTTACCTTGTGCGTTTGATACACAATTGCTGCGTTGTCTGACAATGTCTCCACAACATTGAAGTTTTCAATGGTGGCTAAAAGAGGCAGAGAACATGGGAGTGTTATAACGACGTTGTCTTAAATCAGAAGAATTAGTTTCAAACTAGCACTGATTTAGAGTTAAAAGACCTACTCTCCCAGTCGTTGCGGTAGGCAGTGTCCCAGAAGTAGTGGCAGACCTCGTGACCGGTCACCCCCTTTACTGAGTGGGTGGCCTTCAGCGGGTCCAAAACGATCCCATTTTCTTCCACCTCTCTCCTGTACACCTGCACACACACGGCAAATAGAAGTTAAATCATTTTATAATTACATTTTCCCACGCAGTAGGCTTTAGGGTTTAAGAAAACACTGGTCCAACAGTTCAAATAAATGCAAGGTAAATGCATGCATACATATAAATATCCTCTACTGTGATTTACAGTTGTAGAAATCTGAATGCCATTTAAAAAAAATCCTCCTCGTACCTTCATTTCTCCCTCTTCTACAACCAGCTGCCAGTTGGCATCTCCACCAACATCCTGCAGGGAGTAGGTCATGTGATTCTGCACCATCTCCTCCACCTAGAACACAAGGCCAAGGACAGACAGAGGATGCCATATTGATTACGTGATGAAAACTTGAGAAGGTCCTCAGATATCAGCATGGCATAATGGAGTCAATGTGTACAGCGGCAACAACTTCAACAGTATAGAATGTATAGAAAGTTGATCAGCTTCTGTGTGTAATTTCCTCTGAGGAAAACAATGTTAATAATGGAAAAAAAACTATTGCTGACAACTTTTTCATGACAAGTCTAAAGCTAAAAAGTAACCATTGGAAAAAAAACAACTGAAGGCATTGCAGTTTTTAGTGCCACGAACCACGAAAAACACACAGGCAAAGACATTTAAAAAAGGAAAGCTTACTTTAACTTAACATTATCAAAGACAGACACAATTTGGGAATAACCGCTGAAGTGTGTCCTATTACTGCAGAACTGAAGTGACATAGGCACTGTGTGGTTGAAACATAGTCTAGTATAAAACGGGTAAACAGCAGCTTTTCAGCTAACCTCAGAATGAATAAAAATACATCAATGAATCCAGTTTTTGTGTCTAAAACAAAAATCAAATGACAGAAATGCAACTAAAACTTAACAAAATCAAATGCTTATATTTGAACTTTAGTGTTACACAGCAGACATGGTGGCACATTATCTTTAATCATGAACAAAGTTATTCTCACACACACACACGTATGTAAGAATTCATGCTTCAGCTGCAGTTAATGGGGATCCAACAGTCATGCAAACATGGTGTTTAGTCTAGACAGGTGAAACATGGGAGGGGGGGCTTAGCAGTGAGTTACCTCTGCGCTGAATCTGTGGACATCGTGAGGAGGGGCCATGACTATCAGAGCAGGGGAGGACTGACTATGAGGCTACAGTGACAATGAGAACCGAGGGGATGGTGGAAGGGAGAGGAGGAAAGAAAGTTACCAAAAAGGAAATGAGATGGAAAAATTATGAAAATGAGAAAAAGTAGGGAACGGGAAGAAATGGAGGTGGAATGATGAAAGTAGCTTGCAGGTGTGTACAGGTTTCAGAGAGTAAATGGGTGGACAACCTTGCCAGAGAATCTGTGTGAGCCAGCGCTGGAATAGACGTCTC